TAAAAGGAGAAGGTGAAAAAGTAAAAAGAGTCAACAAAAGGCCAATAACATGTCAATAATAAGTCAGTACATATCAGTTATAACCAGCAATGTCAATGGCCTCAACTCACCAATCAAGAGAAATAGACTGGCAAAATGGAATAAGAAGCAAAATGTAACAATATGTTGAAAACAAGAAACACACCTAGTGCAAAAAGAAGCCCAGAGACTGAAAGTGAAAAGATAGAAAACAATTCTCCATGTGACAGGAGCCCAGAAAAAAACAGGGGTAGCAATCTTATTTGCAAACAAAGTAAATTTCAAACCAAAACTGAATCTAGTTTTATTGATGTAGGATGGTACTGTATCATACCTCTATGAATGTAAAATATCTAGTACCTGCTTTATAATACATAGCAAGGACCATGTTTTATTAGAGCTACATTTAATGATATTACTCTAGAATGTTCTCTTTCCAGATGATGATTAAGAGGCTAATAGAAAAAATGGTGCCAGGTACCAGAACACCAACAGAACTTTGCTGTTGTCTGGATATTATTCTTTTTGTTGGTTTTTTGGGGGTTTTTGTTTTGTTTTGTTTTGTTTTAATGGAATGTGCTGAATGTCTATAATTTTGTTCAGATGACTGCAGAACCTGGAAAAGCTGTTGCTGCTATTGATATATATATAAATTGAATTTTGGGAAACTTTAATGGTGCCGCCGACTTTGGAAAAAGTCATCCCAATTTACTGTGTTGACTTGGCATTGTACAGAAATGGACAATCATATTGGTCTAGATATGTTAATATATTTTTACTTTTTATTTTGTTTCCATGTGTACAGGGGCAACACATCGTACTAAATATGTAACGTCATATCTACGTGAGTTTGACTACAGAAACTAATAAAGTATTCTCTAAATAATGAAAAAAGGAATAAGATAAGACTATAAGAGTGAGAAGCAATTTAAATATGTTCAGGGACCATTTTCATCTCCAGAATTAAGGATTATTTTAATGTAACATTATTGCCTTTTCTCTTTTACTTTCCTTTTTAGTTTTAACTTAGGATTCCCTATTTTTAATGTTCATACAGAGATTTCTTTAACTGAAATACTGAATAATTTCTTTGGTATGAAAAACTATAATAGTACACAGGATCCTAATGAGATAATTAATAATGTGAAATAGGAAGTAAAGGGCTAAAGGTGTAGGGAAAGTGGGAAGGGTGGGGGAAAGGTAATAAGGGAGAGGAAAAAATATGAGAAACTGAAAAATGGAAATAAAGTGTTTGTAAATGGGGAGGAGAGGAGGGGGTGAAGGGAGGGCAGGGACAAGGAAGAAAAAATGAGAATCAAGACCTATTATGTAAAGGTACAGAATCCCAATGATGAATGTAATTGTATTGCATACCTAGATTGTACCAATAAACTCAATAAAAGGAAAAAAAAGAAATTAAAGCAATAAAGATAGGAAAGGAAGAAGTTAAACTATCATTATTTGCTGATGATATGATACTCTACATTGAAGACCCAAAAAACTCCACCAAAAGACATCTTGACTTAATTGACACTTTTAGCAGAGTAGCTGGATACAAGGTCAATACCCAAAAATCAATAGCCTTCTTGTGCACAAATAACAGACTCACTGAATCAGAAATTAGGGAAACAATTCCTTTCACAATAGCACCTAAAACAAAATGAAGTATCTGGAAATCAATCTAACAAAAGAAGCAAAAGGTTTCTACACTGAAAACTACAGCACTCTGAAAAAGAGATTGAAGAGGATATAAGAAAATGGAAAGATATACCCTGATCCTGGGTAGGAAGAATCAACATAGTGAAAATGGCCATACTACCAAAACTGCTATACAGATTCAATGCAATACCAATGGAAATTCCAACACAATATTTCACAGAACTAGAAAGGAGCATCCAAAAATTCATTTGGAACCATAAGAGACCTAGAATAGCAAAAGCCATCCTAGGCAACAGACACATGGCAGTGGGTATAACAATTCCCAATGTGAAACTATACTACAAAGCCACTGTGATAAAAACAGCATGGGACTGGCAAAGAAACAGACCTGAGGATCAGTGGAATAGACTGGAAGACAAAAAAACAAATCCAGATGTACTCAGCTACCTCATCTTTGACAAAGGAGCTGACCATCCTCAGTGGAGGAAAGATAGCCTCTTTAATAAATGGTGTTGGAAAAACTGGATTTCATCCTGCCACAGGTTAAAACTGGACCCTTATCTTTCACCATGCATCAAATTAAAATCCAACTGGATTAAACATCTAAATATTAAAACAGAAACAATAAACTTGCTGGAAGATAAATTAGGGAGAACTCTGGAAGGCACTGACATAGGAAAAGACTTTATGAACAAATCCTTAGTAGCAAGGGAACTATCAGAAAGAATCAATAGCTGGGATCTCATCTTATTAAAAAGCTTCTGCACTGCAAAAGAAACTATCAACAGAACTAAGAGACAACCTACAATGTGGGAAAAAAATTTTACCAGCTGTTCCTCAGATAAAGGACTTTTATCTAGAATATACAAAGAACTCAAAACAATCACACTCCCCCAAATTTAAAGACCCAATTCAAAAATGGGCACCTAAAATGAACAGACATTTCTCAGACAAAGTAAAAGCAGCAAACAAATATATGAAAAAATGTTCCATATCACTGGTCTTTCTGGAGATGCAGATGAAAACAACTCTGAGATTCTACCTCACCCCACAAAGGATGGCTGCTATTAAGAAATCACACAATAACAAATGCTGGCAGGGTTGTGGGGAGAAAGGAACCCTTCTCCATTGTTGGTGGGAGTGCAGACTGGTGCAACCACTATGGAAATCAATATGGAGATACCTCAAAGAGCTAGGTCTAGAGGTTCCATTTGACCCAGCCATCCCTCTGCTGGGTATCTTTCCAAAAGATTTAAAGGAATCATACCACAGAGATATATGCACACCAATGTTTATAAGGGCACAGTTTGTAATAGCTAAAACTTGGAAACAGCCCATCTGCCCATCTGTTGGAAACTGGATAAAGGAGATATGGTTTTTACTGTAAAATGGAATACTACTCAGCCATAAAGAATGAGGAATTAGAGTCATTCATAGGAAAATTGATACATATTGAGGATATACTCTTAAGTGAAATAAACAAGTCACACATGTAAATACCAAATAGTTCCTCTGGTGTGAAAACCTATAATAGTACACAAGATCCTAATAGGATAATTAAGAGTGTAATATAGGAAGAAAAGGGCTAAAGGTGTAGGGAAAATGGGAAGGGTAGGGGAAAGGAAATAAGGGAAAAGAAAAAATATGAGAAAATGTAAAAATGGAAATAAAGAGTTTGTAAATGTGGAGGAGAGGAGGAGATGAAGGGAGGGCAGAGACAGGGAAAAAATGAGAACCAAGAACTGTCATGTGAAGGTACAGCATCCCATTAATGAATGTAACTGTATTGTAGACCTAAATTGTACCAATAAACTCAATTTTTAAAAAAGAAAGAAAGCTAAGGGAAAATCATGCTTTTGTCATCAAAGCAAAGAGAACAAGTGGGATGGCAACTGGAGGCCTAGACATTGGCCAGGATGGCCTCTGAATGGAAATGATGAACATGAGCCAGGGAGTACTTCACAGAAGGTTTATGTGAGCTTTCTGAAGAGCACATTTTTCTGTAAAAGAGAAGTTTTGAAGGTAATATTGAGAATTGATTTCCATGTGGCCTGTTTCAAAATATAAACATCCTTTCAAACTTAACATACGCTAGAACTTCGGTAGGCGCTAAGTGAAACAGATGAATTCAATGATCATGTGTTTCGGTGGGGCTTTATGTCTTGTGGAGCAAAAACAAATTAAAACTTTTTGGGCAAAAAAATACTGCCCTTCAGGAGGCTATTGATTTATGTGAATCCATCACTCCTAAAGTAAAATGAAAAATGAGGCCAGAGGCAACTGTCTGGTCTGTGCTATTCAGATACAAAATTTTCAGCACTGGGATCCTCTCTTCCTCCATTCTGATCTTAACTCCTCGCCCTTGGGTCGCCCTCACAATTCAGTCTTCTTTACAAGTAGATGTAGTGAGTTCACACAAATGTGCACAGTACATTTTCCAAGCTACTTCTGTGGGTTGTTCAGAAATTCCTTATGTGTTTTTTGTTAGCCCCCTTTTTCCCTCCTACAAGTATTTTAAGCTTCTTCGCCTTCTTCAATAATTCCAATTGCTCTTCCTTTTCATTCTCATCAAAGAAACTCCCAAATTTCTCTTATGTCTCTAAAGCCATTATGGATGAACTATGTTGTCTTTTTTCATAAGAAATATACAATAAGACTCCATTGTATCCAACATTGTGTGACCTGACAATCACAAGTTGCATTTTCTATACACATCATTTTGAAAGAAAACTATAGAGAAACATTTCTAATGTTGAAGGAGGAAGAACTTATGGTTCAAGATCTTTAATTAATCTTTGAGCATTTTTGCTAAAGAATGAAGCCTACTTAAGTCTGAATCTGAAAAGCAGACTTCCAAATTCGCAGTTATACATAAATTCCTCCCTGTCAGCTCAACTCTCTCCCCATGGCTCACACCTCCTCAGTGTAAAGCAGTATTTCATGCAACTGGCTAATGTTCACTCTCACTCTCACTCTTTCCTGTGTCAGTCTGATTACTGTGAAGGGAGTGTGTGGTAATTTGCAGATGTTTTGAATTATAGATTAATTCTAGAAACACAACTATATAGATTGATTTTGATTGGAAAGATATTAGAATGAGTTGTTTGGTCAGATAAAACCACTGAAGTAAGGACAAACAACACTTGAGAATTGATGCCAGAGAAGTAAGAGAAGCCCATCATCATCAAGTGCTATGAATACTCAGGGTTTAGAGATGGAACTTTCAATCTCTAGAGCCCACCTATCTCCACTGAACAAGATCTGACACCCACATTCCTGGTATTCTCTATTCTCTCCCACAGTGGATTAAGTATGGACCATACCTGAACAGATGACTCCTGCATCCGGAGTCTTGCTGCAGTTATGCTGCCCCCAGCTCCAGGAAGGGCACTGCCACACATGGGTCTCCTTGCCTGTGCAGCCTGGACTCTTCAGCCAGATGGATGTGGGTCCAGATCCAAAGAAAGCATTCAGCATGTGATATAAGGCCACTCCACAGCCCAGCTGTCTGCACACAACATGGACATCACTCATGTCCCAGGTGTCATCACAGATGGTGGCCCAGGAGCCCTGGTGAAGAATCTCCACTCTTCCTGCACAGCGATAACCCCCATCTACCAGGCGGAGCTGTGGGCTCTCTGAGAAGAGAGAATTCTGTCAGTGTGGCAGTTATACTAGAAATCAGCTTGTTTTTCTGGTCTGTTGGGAGACACTCAGCCAAGCAGCAAGTACGCTCTGCATTCAGGCTGCAGAGCCTGCTGGGTTGCACATGAGACACTGCTCCAGGGCAGCAGAGACTCTGGATTCCCACAGAAATAAAAAATGATCAGAGAGGATTAGCAAGACTGAAAAATAAGAAGTGGTACTAAATGAAAAAAAATCTAGTGAGTGGTTCCAGGTTGTTGCTCTTAAAAGGATGCTACCAGAGTTAACTTTTGACTTCCAGAGTTCTGCTTAGGATAGGAGAAAAGTAAATGGAAAATATCAGAATCTGCACCCAGAGTAGATGGTGTCTTTAACTGAATGAGATCTTAGAGATGTTCTGCTGGGCCAGCACCTGAATGGGTTTCTTACAAAACGTAGAGTTTAATGTCATTCACCTGGGAGTGAGGATTATTAGAGCACAGAAATGAAGTTAGGAATTTGGATGAGCTCATCAGAAACCAGAGGGAGCAGCCAAGAATCCAGGAAATTTCATAACTGTTTTGGTTGATACATTCTTACAGTGCTGGAAAATGAATTGAGTAAGCAGGGCATGGTTAATCCTAGAAATTTTCACTTACAAGTGAAGATTTCAAATTCCAGCTATGGATGTTTATTTTTATAATATTCAGGCAAACTTGGATGAGTGACAAGATTCATTGATATTGACACTGGCCAGATTTCATGAGATATCATAAAGTGTTCATTGTTTCCTTAATATATATAGTATTTGCCTTGACTTCCTGTCAAAACTTGTTATTATTATGGATTTAGAGTTTTTGTTCTTGGTATATTATGTGCTTCTAAATCCAAATCACAACAGAGACAGATTATATTTCTACTATGAGCACAGTTGCATATACCATATGGATGTATGCATTTCAATATTTGTCTCTTTTGGGGGGATATGTAATGTTGAATGAGCAAAGCCTTCAGAGTCAGCTACATCCCTACCTTTTTGATTTTTTATTTTGAACCAGGGTCTCACTGAATCACTAAGTTACCCAGGCTGTACTCAAAGTTGAGATTCTCCTGCCTCAGTTTCCCAGAATGCTGGGATTATAGGTCACTTCAACCAGATTAGTCTCTGGTTTTCATATGAGAAAGAATGATTCAGAGAGACTTTAAGTAATATCAGTGAATACAATATAAGCAATGGGGAAGCAGAGAATAAAACATAGATGGATGTTTCCATGGAGAATAACAGAGTCAGCCATGAGAAACACTCCTACTGGGTACAATAAAAGAAGTTGGAAATGCAAAAACATTAAAGGTATTTGATATTGTGGACACAGAAGACAATTAATATACAAAAATTTTTAAAAGTGGGTTCTTTTCAGTGTTTCCTCAATATTCTACTGCTTCCTATCCTCTAAGAGATTTCCATGACTCAATGGATGGGCCAATAGTGCACAATCTGGTTCTGTCCAGCAGGGGACTGCTTTTGGGACACAGAAGCCAACCTCATTATATGTAGCAGCACTGAAAAATTTGGAGAATTGAGAGCCTCTCTCACATGCATGTCCACTTTCTCTCCTTAAATGTGCATGTATTTGCTTTGAAGTGCAGAGGTTCAAAGAACTATTTCCAAGACCTTGGAAGCAGAGTAGACATGTTGATATTCTCTTGGGCTGTAAGTGCCCATCTCTCCACTGAAATACCTGCAAGCCCAGCCCACAGATTCTGAATCAGAACAGAGTTTGGCAGACTGCTTCTAAACTGAGTCCATACTTACTCCAGCTCAGGTTCATCAGTTATCGGCACTCTTTCAAGTCTATTAGAACAAAAAGAAAGTCTTTCAAGTGTGATAAAATATATCTGGGGAAACTCATTACTTCATATAGAGACACAGCATTCAGTAAAATACACATCATAAGTGAAGAGATGTCATCACATAGCAAATTAAATAAAAAACTGTAAAAAGGCAGCTTAAGTTGTTGGACTTGCGGATGAGGATCATATGATCAATTATGTATATACCAAGGAATACTATCTTAAAACAATGGCATGTAAATACTTTGGGAAAATGCTCTAACATACACCATTGGAGTTCTATAAAGACAAGAGAAAATGAGAAGGAAGAGGAGAGAAGCATTGCATAGTGTATAAGAATTTTCTGAAATGTATGAAAAGTGTTAACTCACATATTAAGGAAAGATATAAAAATTCCTAATACTAAGTTAAGCTGTTGAAAATCAAAATAAATGAGGACAGTGTGAATAACAAAATTAATAATATACAATGTAAAAAGGGAGAAGAAAAAGAATAGAATAAGGTGGATCAACTTGACACATCTCATAGATACAAAAGCAATGGTATCTGTAATTGCACCTACAATAAGTGGAACAGGTACCCTTAATAAAAGCCAGGTTAAGTAAAATAACAAAATTTAACTGTAAACTGCCTGAAGCATACCTTAAATACAGGGGCAAAGAAAGGATGAAATGAAGTAATGCAAAAATATATATTATATAAAGTCTAACCTTAGGAAAATTATTACAACTGGGTCACAAATTAAAATATTAAATGATGAGTAAGGAATTGGGCTTAAATGGAATTTTTGTGATTATAATTAGCCAATTCCTTATTAAGTTTCAGCTATAAAAATCCAGATGTCAAAACACAACTCCAACATGTAGAGCAATAGTTGACATAATGAAAAGAAAAACAGCTAAGCCTGCTTATGCACATTTGTAAACCCAGCACTTCAGTAGTTAAGGCTGGAGAATTGCTGCAGTGAGGCCAGTCTAGTTTACACAGTGAGTTCAAAACCAGCTTAAACTACGCAGTGAGATCTCTGTTTTTTAAAAAATTCACAATTAGAATGGGGAAATTCTATTGTAATTCTTTCAATAGCAGGTGCACCAAGCATATGTAAAGAAGGAACACTGTGTTCTATGTTAAAAAAGAGCTCAGTCAGCAGAACTAAGTTGTACATTTAAAAACTGCAGTCAACAATGAAAGATATCATGGCGACAAAACATGCACCCTAAAAGATAACCACTGGCTTAGAAAGAGGCCCACTCAGATACCATCACCAAGTGCGAGCAGACCCCAGCCAGATGCCTGCCCAGAAACCAGCATCTCAGCAGCTCAGACCCCCAGCATAAGCCCACCCAGACAACACTGGCATGATTGCGCAGGTTTCACCCAGAAGAACACTGGAAACAGCAGCACAGGTGATCAGGCTGCAGGCAGGGCCTTACCCAGACACCAGCAGATTGGGCACACAGGCCCCAGCCAAAGTATTGCCTGGAAAATAGCTGCATAGGCCCAAAGACCGCAGCCAGATGCTACTGAAAAGTACATGCAGGCCCCAGCCACAACCCCACCTGTACAACAGCCCAGTTCAGGGATCCAGAAGGCCATAATTCTGAACCCAGGATTTGGTGAAGTGGTGAGCAGCAAAAAGAAGGTCTCACTGAGGCTTGTTCAGAATTGAAACTCACTGAGAGAGCAAAAAGTCAGCTCAATAAATACATAGGAGACTGCATGGGTTGAAATGAGAAGGCACATAAACAACACTCAAAACCAGACTTCCCAGGGCTGGGGATTTAGCTCAGCGGTTCTGGCACCTGCCTCACAAGCTCAGGGGCCCAAGTTTGATCCCCAGTACAAAAAAGAAAAAACACTTGCAGATCACCAAAAAACCTTATGGGGAATGAGATGAAACAATTTGATACTCAACCACCTGGACTCACTGAATTGACTATGAAAGAGGATATGGAAAAAATGAAATCAGAAATAATTTCTCAGATAGCAGAGATTGTGTCCATGGTGAAAGACATGATTAGTAACTGTAGAGCAGACAGATAGAAAAAAATGAGGAGTTGAGGATCACGATGGAATCTCAACATAAGAAACAAATGGAATCCATAAAACAGATGCAAACAGATATCCAGGAGATTAAAAGCATTGAAAGTTTATGCAGCAAAATAATCCAGTGTGAGGACAGAATATCAGATATAGAAGACAGGATTGTAATTAGTAACCAGGAAAAGAAAAAAAAATTTTTAAATGGCAAGGAACCATGAGAAATCAGTCCAGCAGCTGCTATAAGATACAAAGAAGAATAACATAAGACTAATCAGAGTCAATGGAGAAACAGGAGAAAGTACAAACTACATTAACAAAAACTACTCACAGAAGTAATGGCAGAAAACTTCCAAAGCAGGGGGAGGGGAATTGACATACAAATAAATGAGGCATCTAAAATTCCAAACTATCTGTCATAAAAAAAAAAATCTACACATAGGCATATTATAGTCAGGATTCCAGAAATCCAATAGGACAACAAAATTCTACCAGCAGTTAGAGAAAAGAAACAAATCACATACAAAAGAAAGCCCAATAGAATCACAGCAGACTTCTCAACACAAACCTTCAAGGCAAGAAGAGCCTGGAATGAAGTATTTCAAGCCCTAAAGGAAAACAACCTCCAACCCAAATGAATTTACCCTGCAAAACTACCTTTCAAAATCAATGAAGAAATAAGATACTTTCATGACTAGGAACACCTGAGGAACTTCATGAACATAAAACCAGTACCCCAAAAAGGTGGTGTATTTCTTTATCTCTCTAAATTAGTGTTGGTTTGAAATCCATTTGATCTACAAAAAGGTTAGCTATTTCTACTCTTTTTTGGGTTCATTTCACATAGAATATTGTTTTGCACCCATTAACTTCCACTGTATGAGTTTCTTTTTTAATTGAGTATGTTTATTGTATGCAGCATATTGTTGGATCTTGCTTCTTGATCCATTCTGCTAGTCTATTTCTTTCGATTGGTGAATTGAGACTATTAACATAGATGGTTATAACGGATATGTATTAATTTATCCTTGTCATGACCTTTTCCTGCTGTTGAATTCTTCCCCTTTGCATTTAATTTCTTGCCTTGTCCGATGGATTTATTCTGGTTGACTTCCTGGGGCTG